TTTCTATTCCCAGACATGCAAAGACTTAGAACATTTTAACTCAGTTTACCCCATTTATTTTGACATTGTTGTCATCTATATTCTGTATTTTAATCTCTATAAGATTTTTTTATTATTGATAAAGTAAATCATTTAAATTTACTCACATATTTGCCCTTTTGGTTGCTGTCATTTCTTTGAAGTTTCCATGTGAGATCTGTTCTACCTGAAAACACTTTTCCAGTATTTCATTTAGTATATGTCTGTTGGTCATGAAATCTATTAGTTCTCTTGTGTGTGAAGTCATCTTTACTTTTATTCTTAAAGTATACATGTGCTAGGTATAGAATTTTGGCACTTTAAAACTACTCATTGTTTTCTAGCTTCCATTGTTATAAATTATTTTGCCTGTGAAAATAAAGTGCTTTTTATCTCAAGATGTTTTTAAAGTTTCTTTTTACTTAGTTTTAGTTTTTAGAGGCTTTAGTATTATGTCCCTAATATGCCTTTTTAAAATTGATGTGTAACTGTACTTAGAGAAAAACCTCAATCTGATGAATTATAATAGTAAACAAACCCATGTAATATCACCTATACCAAGAAATAGAAATTATCTGTATTTTTCTAAAAGCCCCCTGGTGCTTTTTCCTAATCTCTACTAGTCTCTGCTTCCTCTCCAAAGAAATTACCATAGTAACATCTAAGAATGTATTTTTATTTTATTTATTCTGCTTGGAATTAAAAGGGGTTCTTGGATCTATTACTTAATATCAACTGTTTTGGAAAATAGTCATAATTTTTTCAAGTATTGATTCTGCTTCATTCTCTCTCTTTCTAGTTCTTAGACTTTCTCATCTATTCCCAGTCTCTTTCTCTTCTATTTTTTTAAATTCTATTGTCTCTCAAAGCTTTATTCTTTTAGTGCAATAATTCTCTCTCAGGTGTAACTAATCTGGTACTAAATCCATTTATTTAATTCTAAATTTAAATTATTGTAAAATTAAGCAAATATATGTCAATTTTTCTTACTTTGCTTTCTTACACAAAGCAATACATTATAGGTATTGAAAAGAAAGCAAGGAACCGGAAGACAGGTGAGTGAAAAATGAAAGACGGAGACCAAACACAGGTGATACACATATTTCTCCATAGACAGAGAGAGGCAAAACAGGCTTGGTGGGCTGGGGATGTGGCTCAAATGGTAACGCGCTCGCCTGGCATACTCGGGGCATTGGGTTTGATCCTCAGCACCACATAAAAATAAAATAAAGATGTTGTGTCCACTGAAAATTGAAAAATAAATATTAAAAAAAAAACAGGCTTGGTGTTCAGGACTTTTATGGGGCAGGCTCAGGGATTAGAGCCAGGCGGGTCCTAATGCTGGTGGTTAAAGGTTGGGTTGGTATGAGGGAGTAGTGAGTCTTCTCAAAAATGCCCTTGGGTGGGAATGCAAAATTTTTCTTAAAATGGCAGCTGTCACTTAAGATGGCTGTCCAGATGCTAAGCAAGGACATTACAGGTATTCTTTTGTACTTTTTTCTATTAATAATATATAAGTGGAGATAACTTGATAGAGATCTCCTTTACTCTTTAAGTTTTGTCAAGCTATAATTTGCATATTTATGCAATTCACCCTTTGTAAGAATTCAGTTAAAAAATTTTTAGTACGTTTTACTTCTGTAACCATTACTAAAATTTCATTTTAGAACATTTCTATGATCTAAAACATTTCTCTATTCTAATTTAGCAAGTTCCTGCTCTTCTTACCAGAATCAAAGATTTGGGCTACCCACTCACTGCTCAGAGGCCAACATTCAAGAAATGAGAGTTCATAGGAAGGGATCAGATGTATTCAAGGGCTGTCAAACTTAAAAAGATAGAAGGAATACCCCCTAAAACTCCATCTTGGGTGGCTCAGGGTTGCAAAGGGCTCTCACGCAGAGAGAAAGGATGAGGACAGCAAGGAGACTGCCTATAGTCTTTGTCATTCAGGTTGAGTGTTTCTTTTTCTCTGGTAGGAAAATTGGAAATGACCTCTACCTCCTGTGGTTAAGGACTCAGGAGGGGCATTACAAAGATCATTGGATAGGTGCTGGGTGCTGTAAATCTAAAGATTATTTAGTAGTTAACATCTTACACATTTAGACTTCTCTATAATTTAGAATGCTGGTGGAGAAAGGGAGAGAACTTAAAAGGATTAGGGAGGAGAAGGGGGAAGTGAAAGTAGCCACCAATGATGATGATGACCCAAAAGAGCTGCCCTCTTTCACTCTTACTCCCAGCCCCAGGTAGCCAACAGTTTGCTTTCATTCTCCATAGCTTGCCCATTCTAGAATTTATTAATGAGACTTATTGTACAGTCAAGAATGTTGTCTGTCTTTAGCAATTTTCTGTGTGCCCTTGAAAAGTACATTTATTTTACTATTTCTGGGTAGAATATTCTATAAATGTCAAGTAGCTCATGATGGTTTGTAAGTTTTCCATATTCTTATTTATTTTCAGTCTACTTTTACAATTATCAAGAGAGGGATTATAGTCTATAGAATTTTTTTTTTGCTGCTCTTTTCAGTTTTGTTTTGTGCTGTGATGATGCTCTTTTGTTAGGTGTATAAATATTTGGAGTCATTATATCCTCTTGATAAAATAACTTGACCTCATTTATCCATGGTAATATCCTTTTCTTTTAAATTTATTTTGTCTAATATTAGAAATCCTCAAGCTTTCTTTTGATTAGTGTTTCTATAGTTTATACTCTTCCATTTCTTTTCATCTCTTTACATTTAAACTTTGTTTCTGTGGACAGCATGTAGTTTAAGTCCTAATTCTTTTATCTAATCTTATAATCACTATCATTGAATGAGAATGAGATTGTTTAGACCATTTACATTTAATGTAATTATGTTTAAGCTGTCATCATAGTTTGTTTTGATTTTGTTTCTTTATTTTTTGTTTCACATTTCCTCATTTTCTGTTTTTCTTTTAATTATTTTGCATATTTAATATTTATTCTTCCCCTTTGTTGATATATTAGCTATCTTTCGTTCTATTATTTATGTTATAATTTATGTTATAATCTACTTTCAGTTAAAATTATACTTTATATAGTGTTAGGACTATAATCCCTTATACTTTTATAGTACATATTATAAGTATACTTCTTTTTTTTTAAGGAGAGAGAGAGAATCTTTTTTGTAGATGGACACAACACAATGCCTTTATTTTTATGTGGTGCTGAGGATCAAACCCGGGTCCCGCCCATGCTAGGGGAGTGCTCTACCGCTGAGCCACAATCCCAGCCCCAAGTATACTTCTTACACTTATATAATAAAATTATATAGTTCATATGAAGTATAACAACTTGTAACAATATACTTTCATTTCTCCCCATGTAGCCTTATTTTTTTCATACATTTTACTTGTATGGCCTCACTGTGGGGAGTCCTAACAGAGTTGGTCTGTCCACTTGCCCTGAAAAATCAAGCAGAAAAAGTAATGGTGAATTGGAAAGGAATTTATTCAGTATAGCTATCTTGCAAAGACAAGGAGACCCAGTGTTCTGAGCCCTGTCTTTAGGGATACCAACAAGAACTTCAAGTTTAAATAGAGAAGGGACAGAAGCTGGGGACATGAAATATGCATAGTTAAGCAGTTTGGGTCAAAACTGTGGTCTGGTTGATAATTATCTCAGATCTGGTTCTATAAGTTCCTTCTGGCTCTGGGGATGTTGTTATCCCTTGAGAAACAATTGGTTCTCTACACTGCTTTTGCTTAGAGGGCAGCCTCAGTTCTTGTTATAGGATAGTTTCTTCCACATAGTGGGGTAGTTTCATCATAGGTTGATCTGCCTGCAAGTCTCGCTTTTTCTGGATTCTTGAAAATATCTTAGTTACTCTTTTCTTGGTGTTTTTAATTGTGAAAGAGGTCAAGAGAGATGAGGCAAATTTAGAGCTATCAACCTTGTATTTACCAATTTTTAGAAAGACACTCAAGTGATTAACATGTCTACATGCAGATTTGAACAGGAATTTGACCTAAAGTTTAAGGCAACAAAAGAAGACCAATGCAATGTGAAGGCAGAGATGCTTTTTTTCCTGCTTTTAATTACCCATCAGACATCCTCAGGACCAAGTGAAGAATCAGTGCTTTTTTAACAAAAGTAGGCTCAACCCCTTATTGTATGTATATTCACTGATTTTTCTCCTTCTGAATATTATGAATGTATTAGAAAATTCTAGAATTTTAGTATTCCTTTAAAGAGCTTTAAACTTTACTTTGGTGGGTAGTTAAGTTACTACACTATTAGTTTAATCTTTTAAAGAATTTTTAAAGGTTTTTTATGGCAGTTTTGAAGTAACCTTTATTCTAAAGCTAGGTTAGCATCACTACTAAGATAGTCCTTCTTGTGTCAACACTGAATTCCTCAGCTGTTCAACAAAAACTCACCTCTGCTTGGCAAAAAGTCATATCTCTCAGTAGTGTATGGTCTCTGAGAGCTTTCAGTTGTATGGCTTCCCATTCTTTGCCTAATCTCCTGAGATTTTGCCCTGCTCTTATATTCCTTAGTATTTTCCAATAGAAGTAAAAGAGCATCTATACCAATTTTTCTGGAGCTTCTTTTCAATTAATTTCCCCATTTCTGATATTCTGCCAACAAATTCCAGCCAGCTTAGTCCACCATAACTAAATTCTATCTGTTCAACCCAAGAAACTTGCCAAGCTTTGAATCTGACTACCTCTGTACCCTGCAAATCTGGAAAATGATGCTTGGTAGACAGCTCAGGCAACCTTATGAGTCACTTATTTGTCTCTTTTCTCTCAGTGGCCATAGTTCTGCACTAGCTATTATAAAATTTACAAAAAAAAACAAAAAACAGTTTCATTAATTTTTTGTGGTTTTATTGTTGTTTACAGCAGGAAATTAAGTATAGCCCCAGTTATTCCATCCAGGCTCTACAGCAGAAGTTGATGTCTTTCAATTTTAAAGTCAACAATTTAAAATACCCCTTATTTTTGATATACAGGGCAAAGAAAGAAATTGAATACCAGGAACTGATGTTTCTTTTAACTGGAGGAGTAAGTCTTAAGGCTGCTGAGAAAAATCCTGATCCAACTTGGCTGCAGGATAAAAGTTGGGAAGAAATTTGTCGAGCAAGTGAATTTCCTGCCTTCAAAAAATTGAAGTAATTATTTACATTTGATGATTTAACATTGAATAGTGATGAGTAGATTTGTAATTTAGTGATTTTTATGGTTCTTTTTAGTTTATTGGTTGGTAGAAAGATGGGCTTTTATTATTTTGTATACAAATGTAGCTCCTATGTTACAAAAAGTCAAAGCCAATTTCTTTGACCCTGTACCCTTGAATCTGTCATTCAGGTTACCATTATAGAAACAAAAGCTGCTATACCCTAAATTCTGGAAGATGCCCCAACAAAGGTAGATTAAAGATTATTTAAAACTTCTTTCATTATAAAGAACTACCTTTCTGTGCCTCTGAATGGTAATAAAAGAAGAATCCCAAAGATCTACTGTTAATAGTGAGATTGAGAAGACCAAGTTTAATAATTTCAAACTTAATCCTTAAGTATTTCTGTAAAGACTGAGAAATGACTACCCTTTTCTTCTCCACTACAGCTGGCTTTCTCAAGTATAGATATATGTCTTCCTGGGAGCCAGGCATTGAAACACAATCTCATTTGTCTCATTAGTATTCTCCAAAGGCTTCTGGTAAAAGAAGCTTTAATTTAGTTGTTTCAGTTCTTGCCAATCTTCAGTCCTTATAAAAAAAAAAAAGAACTTTTTATTAAAAAAAAGTGTGTGGGAGAGGTACTATTCTAAGTAATAGTGGCCTAACCAACAAGAAATTAAAGAAAAGGAAATAAGTGCTTTTTATGACAAAGATTTTCAATTACTTATTTAACTGAAATAACTTTATTGAAATGTCTCCACATAAAAGTTCACCTTGCCCCCAGCAAGCAATTAGATGGGATCTGTGTGTCACTTAAATGCCTTCATGAGAACTGGAAATAAGCCACTCTTTACTCTCTTAAGTCAAATCACATTCTTCTGGGCTATACCCTACAGAATTAGCTTTAGGAAAAACAGTAAAGGTCCTGCCAGATGGCCAGTAATAGCCCTTAGTGCTTCTGGAAGAGGACCAAGAAGAGCAGATCAGCATGGACTGTCCGCCTCAGAAAACAGGGTATGGGAAAGATATAGTTCTGAGCTGGTGGGTATTGTGGAGATTCCATATTTTT